GCAAGTAAAGTAGATAAGCAGCTTTTTGGAATAGCAATGCAAGTAGTCTCTAGTAGGAGAATCCCTTTTAGAGATAGAAGTAGAAGCAGAGGAGGAGTACTTACTTTTAATATTCAAGTAGCAGTTTCTAGAAGTAGAAGTCAGAAGGCTAGTAGCATAGAAGCGCCTATGAAGCCTCAGGGAAGTACAGGAAGTTAGAAGCAGAGGAGTAGCACGAAAATAAACTAAGTAAAACACGAGTAAGGCAAGTAAAAGCAGCAAGAACGAGTAAAAGCAGGAATAAAACAGGTCTAAAATACGAATGCGGGTAAGTAATAGTTAAAAGCAAGACTAAAACTTAACTGAAATCATAAAAGGAATTGGATAAAAGCAGAAATAAAACGAAAACAGGGTAAAGTATTAGTTAAAAAATAATACTAAAACGTAACTGAAATCGTAAAAGAAAAGATTCAGTAAGAAATGAAAGACTAAAAACAGAAGTAAAAAGTAATAAAACAGTAAAAGCAGAAGTAAAAGCAATAAAACAAAAAGCAGAAGTGAAAGACGTAAAACACAGATAAAGACACGTAAAAGAAGTAAAATACAATAAAATAATGGCATTGGATTTAAAACAACATAAAACTCACTGAAACCTTCATCAAAAGAGATAAATAAAATCAAATGAACTTAGCAGTGAATGGAATACTTCCTAGAAGAGGCTCAGCAATGAAAAACATGTGAAACGTGACAACATGACAACTACTGAAAACTGGTTATACTTGGGAAACGTAATATTTAAGTAACCAATGCCTTATTGATTCACGAACATTAACGTCCAGCATAAATAAAACCTAGGCAAGTAACAGGAATGGGCTGGTACAACCTTTGGTGATGTTCAGCAGAGAGAAGAGGGTAATCCAAAACACACAGAATTCCAGTTGACACTGTTTATTGTCATGGGCGCGGGCAGTCATAGACTAGTGACGTCACAAGAAAACGAATCATTTCCAGAAAAAAATTACAAATAAAATCCAATTAATCAGAATACATGATAAAACATAAGATACTAAAATATACACATAAAAACAAACTAAAACACCATAAGAATACCAAATAAGAAAAATATACGTACATCAATAAAAATCAAACTAAAACATACATAAAGACAAGAAAGACTCCACTAATAAATAAAAATACAAGGGAATGATATAAAACGACAAAATAAGTATTTAAAACTAATGACAGAAGAGTTAAAATAAAACTTTTAAAAATGACGGCAGAAAATGACGTGTCATGTCACTGACACCGCGAAATAAGTTAACTCATTATAAAACTGAAAATTAGGGCTCAGGATAAAACGAGAATCTTAAAACACAAAATAAATATATCAAACCAAAAAAAAAACTAGTAAAAATTAACAGAAGGTGGTAATTAAAACAATTAAAAGCGGGCAACAGAAAACGGGCACAGGGTGACCAAAGCAGTCCCACGCAGGGGAAAACCTGGCGCCGTACAAAGTTAAGTGCGATGGTAACTGGAGTGTGTCGCCCTCTCCTCTGGACTGCAGACCACACTCCACAATATACATAATCACATGTAACGTATTGCATGTCATATTATATCTCTTATCATGTATCCCTTCCATGTATCCAGATAAATTTGTAGATTAAAAAGAAGAAAAACAAGGAAAGTAGGTCGTGATAGACATAGGAATAAGCAGGTTGAAATCATTTGCCTAAAAATACATGAATATACAAATAAGTGAATATAAACATTAATTGATTATCACATGTTTTTATGCATGTATGTATGTATGTTTATGGCTGTACATATGCATTTGTTGCATGCAGCATGTGTGGGTGTACATATGTGTATATGTATTCCTGTATGTATGTTTACGTATGTGTATATGTATGTATTATGTATGTGTATCTATGTATGCATTTATGCAAACATGCATGTATGCATGTATATATGTATACATATATACAAATATCTATCCATCTATATCTATAGATTTATAGATATCGCTATACGTACACACACACACACACACACACACACACACACACACACACACACACACACACACACACACACACACACACACACCACACACCACATATCTATCTATCTATCTATCTATCTATCTATCTATCTATCTATCTATCTATCTATCTATCTATCTATCTATCTATCTATCTATCATATCTATCTATCTATTATATATATATGTATATATATATTATATTATATATATATTATATATATATATATATATATATATATATATATATTATATATATCAAAAACATAAGTAATACATATGTACACATGTATAAATTTACTACCATGAAAATGCCCTTGCAATATATTTTCTCCCATATTTTCCACATATAACTGCTCAGGAAAAACAAAACCGCTGAGAAAACACGATACTTCTAAGAGATAACTTGCACAGCGCAGCGTGGCCTGTGTGGTATATATATGAAAAGGAAAATGCGGAATAGAAAGAAAATATCACCGTGAATGCGTATTTCTAAAATGTTCAAGATTTTCGTTCTAAAATATTTATAACATTTCGTTCTAATGTTAAGATATTCGTTCTAGAGTGTTTTAGAGATATTCGTTCTAGAGTGTTATGTCGTTCTAGAGTGTTTAGAGATATTCGTTCTAGAGTGTTTAGAGATATTCGTTCTAGAGTGTTTAGAGATATTCGTTCTAGAGTGTTAGAGATATTCGTTTCTATTCGTTCTAGAGTGTTTAGAGATATTCGTTCTAGAGTGAGTTTAGTGTTTAGAGATATTCGTTCTAGAGTGTTTAGAAATATTCGTTCTAGAATATCTAGAGATATCCGTTCTAGAATATTTAGAAATATTCGTTCTCAATGTTCAAAGATATTCGTTCTAAATGTTCAATGACATATGTTCTAAATGTTCGTAGATATTCGTGCTAAATGCTTAAAAATATTCGTTATAAAATGTGTAGATGTTGGTTCAAAATGTTCAAAGATTTTCGTTCTAAAGTATTTAGAGTTATTCGTTCTAAATGTTTAAAGATATTCCTTTTGAAATATTTAGATATATTCGTTCTAAATGTTAAAACAATATTCGTTCTAAAAGATTTAGAGATATTTGTTTTAAATATTCCTTTGAAGAAAAAACAGAAGATTAGAATGGAAATTATTTCGTCCTAGAACTTTATCATCGTGTTTTTTCCTATTCCTATTCTTTAATTTAAAATCTTTTATTTAACAAGATAATACTCTGTCATGGAAATAGAAGAAATATGTTGCCCGATATACCACGTGGTTTTAAAGGTATTTTCCTTTTACATCATTTTCTATGATAGCAAAAAAACAAGTTAGGTTTTGTTAAGCTATGCTAAGTTAAGCTTTAGTTCACTAAGTTAGGTTAGGTTGAATTGGTATATCCTAAATTAAGTTTTAGTTGAGTAATTTAAAGTCAGGTTAAGTTAGGTTAGGCAAAGGTAAGTTGGGTTAAAGTTAGATTAGGTTAGATTAGGTTTAGGTCAATTTAAAGGCTCCTGCAAAATCGAGTTTTGTACTACATTTTTTTGCATCTAAATAAAGAGTAATTTGCAACAAAAATGACAGAGAAAACAAAAAAAAAGCGTTTTAAGTCGACTAATTTATCGAGTGGTGCAATTCATCTATGAAATGTGATTTCGATAATAAAACCGAACAGCTCAAAAATGAATATTGTCGGAGTAACTTTACATTAATCCTTTTTTGCATGATTTATTCCCATTTTTCCTTTCCCTCATTTCTGTCTTCCCTTCCCTTTTTTACTCCTCTCCCTCTCTCTCTCTTTCTTTTTTTTTTTTCTCTCTGCTTCCTGTCTCCCCCCCTCCCCCCCCCTCTCTCTCTCTCTCTTTCTCCCTCTGTCTCTGTCTCTCTGTCTGTCTCTCTGTTTCTCTCTCTCTCTCTCTCTCTATCTATCTATCTATCTCTGTCTCTGTCTCTCTCTCTCTTTCTTTTTTCTCTCGTTTCTCTGTTTCCCCCGCCCCTCTCGCTCTCTCTCTCTCTTTCTCCCTTTGTCTCTGTCTCTCTGTCTGTCTGTCTGTCTCTCTCTCTCTCTCTCTCTCTCTCTCTCTCTCTCTCTCTCTCTCTCTCTCTCTCTCTCTCTCTCTCTCTCTCTCTCTCTCTCTCTCTCTCCCTCTCTCTCTCTCTCTCCTCTCTCTCTCATCAATTTCATTTAAGAGATTAAAGTGGGTTCTTTGACTGAAGCATCTATTTACATAGAAACTCAGTTCTCGGAAGTTTAATTTTAATTAGAAAGCCAACATAAGGTCTAATTACTTTAGGAGAATCAATGCGGTTCGTTCGAGCTTAAAATTCATTCGCTTTCTTTGTTTTGTTTCGGTTTGTTTGTTATTTCACGAGCGCTAACATGACGCTTCTGTATCGAGCAGTGTGGGTGCACATGTTATTATATATATATATATAATATATATATATATATATTATATATATATATATATATATATATATATATAATATATATATATATATATATATATATATATATATATATATGTATATATGTATTATATATATATATATATATATATATATATATATATATATATATATATATATGTATAATATATATAT